ACAAGAAAAAATCTGTTGAGTCAACAGTATGTAAAATCCAATATCCCTGTTATATCTCCTAATCAAATACAACTCGTACATTCTACTAGTTTTAGTATTTTTAGAATCAATGTCTCTTCATCCACCGTGGTTTCTGTTTTTTATGCCCCTGCTTCTGCCCATTGTGTTAGTACTACTGTTGCTGACAAAAAACAAACACATAAATCCCATTGGGTTCTCCAAAACAGTTATACGAAAAAGGCCTATAAAAACAATAATGGCCTCGTTTGGGAAGTGGCTGTTTTAGTAGGTTATTTGGCTTTTTGGCTATTTTAGTAGGCTATTTTAGTTTTTGTGTTTGGGAAGCTGAGATGAATTTTATTTGAGTTGTTGTATTGAAAAATGTGTTGAAATGATGTTTGAAATTAGAATGACAAATTTGTCCCTAAAAATATATATTTTTAAATTGTTGTCAAGGGATAAAACCGTAATTTACCATTGATGGAACAAATTTTGTAGCTGATGCCGGCTGTGCAGCTTTTTTTTTTTTTTTTTGGGGTGAAAAACAAGCAACAGTGGGCTTTTTGGCTACAAGACTATTTTAGGCTATAATAACCGCCCAAACCACTTCCCAAACAGCCCCAATATAAAAACTAGTGACGCATGCAGCATTTTAAGTTCACGAAGCCCTAAAACTAGGCAGCCCCTTCTTTTCTTCTCTTTTCTTTTTTTTTTTTTTTTTTTTTTTTTTTTTTTTTTAGGTTATGGTCGTTAGAATCTTGCAATTCACCATTCAATTCAATACGAGTTCCAACCAAAATGATCCTATTTGTGCAATTAGTTGAATCATAAATTGAGTGAATTGTACAATTCAATAACAATTCACTATGATTCATTATGCTTCATCAGTTATGTTTGCATAATGCTTATTTTCACAAAATACAAAAGAAAATAAAAAGATTAAGAGCATCTCCAATCTTTAACCCTTTTTTTTAACAAATTTAAATTGGATAAAAAACTGATAAAAAATCATTTCCAATCCTTTCATCAAATGTTTATTAAATCAAGAGAAAAAGATAAAGCATTGGAGATATATTTTTCCATCAAATTTGATGAAATCAAGAAATTTGGGATAAGAGGGGAGTTTTTTATTAAAAAAAATTGATGAAATTTGATAAAAGGGTTAATTGACATCAAATCAACTTTGTACTCAAATTTAGAATAAAATTAGATGAAAAAAAAGTAGTGAAGGGTTGCAGATTAATCCTTCACCAATCTTTTCATCTCTTTGATTCCAAATTTGAGTTAAAACTTTGATTTGATATCAACTAATCCAATTCTTTCATCAAATTTTCATCAAATTGTTTTGAAAAATTCCCCTCTAATTCCAAATTTCCAATGCTTCAAGGATTTGATGGGAAAAAAATGACTCTCTTGATTTGATGAACATTTGATGAAAGGATTGGAGATGATTTTGGATTAGTTTTTCATCAAATTTAAATTTGATGAAAGAAATATGAAGGATTAGAAATGTTCTAACTAAGACCATCTCCAATGGTTCACCAGATTCATCACCAAATTTGAATTTGGTGAAAAAGGATAGCTTTTTTGTCTCCAATAGTTTTATCAAAACGATATTAAATTGAGAATAATCCAAAATTTTCACCAAACTGAGGATGTTATGGGTCTTTCAGCAAAACACTGTTCATTACCGTTGTACTTTCACTACTACTGGATGACCCATCGGATGTCCTTCCGGATGACCACCTTTTGCAAAATTTTGTACAGATTTTACACTGGGAGGTCGACCCCCTAGATGACCCCTCAAGCTTGAAAATGGAATCTTGTTCAACTACAGAATTGACACAATGAGATGGGCGAACCTTTGTTTTCTCAGTTGATTGTTGTGCATCTTCAAGTGTTGAAGCCAATTTTTCAGTTGACAATTCCGCACTTGGTGGTTGTGCTTGGACCTCATCATGAGCTTTGCCATTAAAATCCATTAAATGGGCTTGACTGCTCTCAGGTACTTCAATTTTTGAAGATGACACACTTGTGTCTATGGAATCTTGTTCAACTACTTTTTCTGGCAACATGTCTGGTTCAATGAGATCTCGGATTTCTTGTTGTTTATTGAAAATCTGACTTGTATAAGACCTTGCTGACTAACCTCATGTACTCCTCTCAATCTAGACTCATCTTCGTCCACTTTGGATAGCTGAGATGAGGCAACCCACATTTCCTCACTGCCACAAGTGGTCTGCTTGTCCAAATCCACATCCCCATCAGACATCAAATGTTCTCCATCCGAAGGTGAGATGGTTTCATCAATTGTCAATGTAGGTGAACCAATGTCTAACACCTCCACTTGCAAGTCAAAGGCTATGGAATGTGTACGATTGTGATCATTGCCATTATCTGCACAAAAAAAGCGTTCCCCCTCCCCCGCCCCCCCGCCCTTTCCTCTCAAATGAAGATGGAATGCCGTAATATAAAAGCTCATTTCTTGGAGCATTATTCTCTCTATCTATGTTCTTCCGAATTGAAAACCTGAGGGATTTTAAGATTTGTTCTTTGTTAGCATCGGATTTTAAGATTTGTTCTTTGTTCTTCCCACAGTAACTACATTCGACATTGCAAAAAAAAAAAAAAAAAAAAAACATTTTTCCTAAAATTTCCTCTTTTCTTTCATCCCCCCAAACATCCAGTGCATTTTGATGAAAGTTACAGTATACACCGTTGGAGTGGCTGATATTAGATTGAGCAAAACGTCTTTTTTTTACTCAAATTTGATAAAAATTCTAATGAACCATTGGAGATGCTCCAAGACCATCTCCAATCCTTCATCAGATTTTTCAACAAATTTAAACTTGATGAAAAAACTGATAAAAACTATGCTCCAACATTAACATCAAAGTAATATCAAATTCAGGATATCTAAGATCTTTCGTCAAATTGAGGATGCCTGAGCCCTTCATCAAATTACTGTAGATAGCCGTTAACTTTACAAATATGCATGAGTATCGGAAGACTGGCCAAATGTTCAGCTGGTTGTCCCCCGATCGACTACCTTCTTGCAAAATTTGTTTTAAGATTTTGGAAAATTTACACTAGTCGGTCGACCAACCGGATATCCCCGGTCATCCTCCCGGTCAATCTATGGTTTGATGAAATCCAAGATTGCTCCATTGAAACACGAGATATCAGATGAAGTTTTTATTCAAATTTGATGGAAACAAAACAAAACAAAAAGTAAATGCTGTAGATGCTCTAATTATATTCATATATGTGTATATACAATTTACTTTATTAATAATTATTTGGTACTAAATATTAGTTTATACATATTTTTATATGCATATTATATATAATGATATACAATATACTCATTCACAGTTTACTATTTTAACAAAAAAAGATTCACCATACAATAAAAGTAAGAAATTTTCAAACAAAATCCTATAATTGGAAACCCTAATAATACTTGGAAACCATTGTTTTTGTTATCTGATGTGGCTAGGGTTTTTCTTCTTCCATAAACAAGTTGAAAGAGTATCATATTGTGAATGAAATGAGTTACCTCAAAATCTAATTGTTCTGATCCTACAGAAAAGACTCCATGGCCACGAGCTTCTCTCTCTTCTTCACTGTTTTCTGAAGCATTTTGGACCCTTTTATAGATTGGGCTCTCAGTTAAGATATTTCTAATTTGAGTTTTTTTTTTTTTGATATTATTTTTTATGTTGTAAATTTTATTATTTATAATGACATCTTCAATCTTTTATTAATGTTTCATCAAATTTAAATTTGCTAAAAAAAATTTAGTTAAAACGATACTCCAACTATTTCATCAAGTCGATATCAAATGAAGGGAGAGTTAAATTTTTCTTTAAATCAAGAAACTTTATCCTTTCATCAAATTTCGTAGATGACTGTTGGGTTAGATATCTTTCTGGACAACTGAGCTTTCTTTATCTAAATGACAATTTTTGCTCATGGCCGAATGTCCGCCCGAACAACGGGACTTGTAACAAGATTTGATGAATATTTTAAATTTATCGTCGAAGTGCATCATATCAAATTAAACTTTTCATCAAATTTTTATTGAAATTTGATAAAACATTGGAGATACTTTAACTCATTTTCTTTTTATATCTATTTTGTAATTATAAGATGGGTATTACAATGCACGTTTTTATTTTGTTGGACTTGTGGATATATTTATTTTTTTCAGTATTTATTATTAAGATCCTGCGATCATGGAGAATTTTTCAACTTTACTGGTATTTGGATAAAACAAAAAACTGTAAACTTTTTTTTTTTATAAGCCTACAAATAAGGAGTTTCCTTTTTTCTTTTTCTTTTTTTTTTTGGAGCTTTAGGGCCCCCCTATGACTGAGTTTGTGTTGCCTACTGGGGGTCAAATTGTGCAAATTGTTTTAGAGTTTCAAACATTTTGTCAATCCATCACCCACCGCACATCGCGCACACCCCTACTTGCTACATTATTGTGAGCGAATATGAGAATCTGTATGAGACACATTTCTGAATACCACTGCACTTGGCCCCCTCAAGACAAAACCCTTGACCTGAACAATCAAGCTAGTAACAATTTTTTTATTTTTTTTTCCAATGAATAGCAGATTATTACAACCATGAGAGAATTGCATTCAACTGTACAATCATCTATACAAGAAAATACAACTCATACCCGCAAATCCAACATCAACAACAATCACAATAATAATATAAGAACGAACACTGTATTAGTGAACCTTCATCTACCTTGGTTGTGGACAACTCATAAAGATTAAAGACCCAACTGATCCAAATGATCAATTGCATTGCTTGATTTCAATTCAAGTATGTCTCTACAATAGACAAATAATCTAGGAAATATCATAGCCAATTCCAAACATAAATACCCCAACAAACAACGTAAGACAATCTTTGAAAACAAATTTAATAACCATTTTCCAATCAAAAACTCAATATATAATCATTGAAAATGACTCTCAAGACAAGGGATTATGCAGCTGCTATAAACATGAAAACAAATTTGATAGGAAACTGTAAATCAGCACATAGCAATTATTCGATTAAATTACTTAAACCAAACAAATGCCAACTTTCAAGGTTCTTAAAATTTTGAATTTTCAGTAAATTATATGAATGATTACCATTTAAATCTAAAACTAATCATCTTGCGCTGTACTTGAGGCCTCCTTTTTTTGGTCCCAATAAACTGCTCAGTCTCAAAATCTTTCAGGTCATGCCTCCAACATTTTATATCAGTAGATTCACAACAACTATTCTTCTCATTTTTTGTATGCTGCAATTCGTCTTTTAGGACCTGTATTTCAAGAAAATAACGACATTACGCATTGTTAATAATGAACAAAATATTCCTCACTATCGACTTCAATTAATCACTAACATTCCTCAATGAATTTGTTTTTCTTTGTACCCAACTCCATAGTTAGCATTTCCGGATAACAACTCCAAAGTATACCATCGACAAGGGGTTCAAAAGCCGGTGGTGAGTAATCATTCAGGAGTTTTAACTTCAAGTGTTTCACACCACGCACTGGTGGAATCGGAATTCCTCTCAGCTCTCCCAGATTGAATGTGAGCTTCATCAAATTAGACAAAATTTAAAACAAGAAAATTAATCTGGAAGAAAAATCTACCGAAGGAAATTTTAATCTATAAACATCCATACAGAAAATACCTTCAAACTAGCTGGGAAATGCAATGACAATGCTTCATTGTGGCTATGCTTTCCGACGAATTCTCTCAACTTCAGGAACCAAGAAACATCTATTTTAAAGGAATAAAGTCGGAAACTGGTTTTTTGTAGATGCAAAGTATTCATTTGAAACAAGAATGGCAAAAATTCATTAGCGGTATATTTGAAAGAACGTAGATTTGGAACGTCAATTGTAGCATCTACCAAATTTTCCACAAAATATAGATGTAACAGTTCAAGCCGTGGACTTGAAATCTTAAACTTCCTCAACTTGTGCTGGCCAAAGAGGAACAAACATAAATGAGTGTGTTTTTAAAGGAAATCAGCCTAATATGGGAGAGCTTGGTGAAATAGTGAAAGTGAGGGTTGGGTTGTGGGCCAAGTCTGGGCTGCCAGAGTTTCACTATTCAGTGCATGATGTAGTGGCTAATCTGAATCAGGTGACTTGTTGTTTATAGGGATTTGCTGCTGGGTTGTATGTGCTTCTGGGGTGTGTGTGCTTGGTATGTTGCCCTCTGTGTAGTCTGCTTCATGCCAGATGGGGTGTGTATGCTTCTGCTCTAGTCTGCTTTAATCAGGGTAGTCTGCCAATCTGGGAAGTCTGCTAATCTGTGCCTGCTGGTCTGCCAATCTGTGTCTGCTGGTCTGCTCTGGCATGCTCATGCTAATCTGAATCAGTATGCTAATCTGATTTAGATCAGATGCTGTGTGTTGCCTTGTTGTGTGTCGCCAGGTATGAATCAAGAAGTCAGCTGCTGGGATGTTGCTGGCAGATCTGTTGCTGGTATGTTACTGGCAGATCTGTTGCTGGTATGTTGCTGCCTTATGCTGTGTGTAGTCTGCCTTATGCTGTTGTTGGTCTGGCTGTAGGCTAATTCGGGTGTGAGAAGCTGTAGTATTGTAACTCTCTTCTGTGGTCTTTTCTTTTCTATTCTCTTTTGTTTCCTTTATTGGTTTCTCACCAATTTAGGGTCATGTGCTATCTGCTCTTCTCTCTTTGTTGATGTAAGTTTGTATGTTATACTTTCTTCATCAATAAAGTTTTCTTTTGTTGATTAAAAAAAAAAAAAATCAAAAAAAAAAAAAAGAGAAACAAACATTTAATAAGCGGAAATAGGAAAAAAGATTTTCAGAAAATAGTCTTGGAACAATGACAGTGTCTAAGCGCAAGACCTCCAGATTCTTACAACATTTCAAATCAATCTCACAATACGTATGAAACCACCTGTGAAAATCAAAGTATGAAGACTTCGCGTCTCAATCTTAATCTTATAAATCCAATAATCCTGTACCACTACCTTCTCAAGTCTATCAAGATTAAGCAATTCAAGAAATTTTATCCCTTCGCAGAGTTTGAGACTGAAGTGCTTAATGTTGGGGCTGATAGAGATGAGCCGATTAAGAATCCTATCAGATAAATGAACGTGCTCCAGACTTAAATCGTGCAAAGAATCTAACCTTGCAGCATCACCGATAGAATAATCCTTCAACTCACACGTAACTAAACTTAAAACAGTTAGTTGTTTGGAATGTGCAGCATATTCGTTCACGTATAGAGAGAATGTTAGTACACTTTTTTGCTTTTGGTAGAACATTTCGAGAGACTGATCGACAAAGTGAAGAAAATCTTCTTTTAGTCCCCCAAATGATCTATATTGCCCATCATTATTCAGTTTATTTAAATGTGAGCATCTAGTTCTGAAATTCAAATGTTGCACAGGAGAGATGCGCTGCCATGTTTTGGACAAGATCCGAGTGGCGATTACGTCTTTCAGAGGTAGGAAAGAGATGATGTGCTGAATGACTTCATCGGGCAATTGGAAGTATTGGTATGTGGACTCATTCTTTGCTTCTCCCACTGTGCTTTCCCTTTTTATGCACTCGGTTCTGCCCATGGTATTATTACTGTTGCTTGCAGCAAAACAAACACATAAATCCCATGAAAATAAACCGGAATTGAAATATAAATATGAAAGCCCTAGATAAAAAGAGAATCTCCAAAACAATAGCAAAATATAGTGATTACCTAATCCAAACAAATCCAATATTAGATTAGAATCATTCAAACCTAGTAAGGTTTAACGTGGTCTAATACAGTATAAGCATGCATTTTCAGTTTCTTACAGTTCAGTGGCATTGCTAGACACCACCATTAATTTGGCAATACAATCAAGCTATCTGGAAAAACTCATTTGTAGCTTAAAAAGAGCATCTCAAACCTACTTTCAAAAAACACACACTGTTGTTTTCAGAATCTGTTTTCTAAAAAATAGTAATGAATATTTTGGTGAAAAAATAATGAAAAATTAAAAAACACTCATTTTTCATATCGTTTCCTTTTTCTTTTTTGTGCAACAAATAGTTTATGAAATTTAAAAAACATCAAATGGTGTTTATTTTCAACAAACTAGTTTCTAGTATTTTTCAGAAAACAAATTCTGAAATGATGGATAAGGGTTTGTAGAATCAATGTTTGCTTCATCCACTATGCTATTAAAAAAAGAAAAGAAAAAAAAAAAGAGAGATGCAGCATTTAATTTCACAAAACCCTAATACTAGTTAATCAGCCCCTTCATTTTGAAAAACCCATGTTCCCTAATACTCTTGTAATCCTAGTTGTTTAGATTAATTCACGATTCGATTCAGAAGATTACAAGTTTCAACTAAGACAATTCAATTCATGTTGTTGTATATTACATTGCGTAAATTGTAAGATTCAATTGGAATTCACTACAATTTGTTACGATTCATTGTGATTCAATTTTTGTTTGCATAATCTATCAAACAGTGTAATTTTCACAAAATGAAAATTAAAAATTAAAAAAAAAACACACACACACAAAAATATTTATTTGGGAAAGATTATGATTAGAGGGGTATGCACCGTATACACTTTATAAATAAAGAAAAAAATGACAATTTATGAGTCACAACTAAAATATATATATATATATATATATATTTATATCATAACTAAACAACATACGAAGCATAATCAAAGAATTCATGTGTCATGACTAAAATAAAATCATAAGAAAATAAGAAAATGACATAACTTAGCAGTACATATGGTAGGGGTGTATGGTAAAATTTCCCATTTATTTCATTCCAAACATGTGCATTTTTATATGTATATATTTAATGATATATTGTGCTAAATTCACGATTTTATATCATTCACAATGCACTATTTTAACAAAATAATTCACGATTTGATTCTAAACTTGACAACAATCGTTTAGATAAAACAAAAGCAAGAATTTTGAAAGAAAAATGGATTTTTTTTTAAAAACTACAAAAAGAGAACATATGATTTACCTCAAATGTGCAGCAAATTGATCAGTAACCTACACTTCTCTCTATTATAGTAATTGCTCTGATTGTTTATTGTTGTGGAGATGAGAATTCTAGGGTTTCTACAGCTGCTCTGTTTTCTCGAGGGTTTTAAGACCTTTTTTATGACCTAGGCCAGCGCAATGCTCTTGGGACTTAAAACGCAATTTTGAATGGAGTTGAGCAATTTTGATGTTTTGTCTGTTGTGGTTCAAATAGTCTATTTTGTCTTTTGTGGCTTAAACAGTTAAAGAGTCCAAATGAGCTCTTCCCAAACGATACCTTAGATTTACTATTCTTGGGGAATTTACGGTGTCGTTTGGGAAGAGCTCATTTAGCCTCCTTTGGCTCTTTGAGCCACAAAAGACAGAATAGACTATTTGAGCCACAACAGACAAAATATCACATTCAACCCATAATCATTACACTCTTCTCTCACAAAAAAAGTCAAAAAAGTTAAAAAGCCAAAAAACCCTTCCCAAACCAAGCTTTTGAGCCCATGCTCAAATAACCAAAAAAGTCAAAAAGCCAAAAAGCCAATCCACTTCCCAAACGGAGGCGTACCTTCATAAAATTCAAAATTCATTTAATCTCAAAATAAAGTACTTGCACTAATTAATGGGGTACTTACGTGTGTAGGTCCTAATAAATGGACTTATTATCTAATAGGTCCTATAAGAAAAATTTGTCATAAAAAAATGTCATTAATTGTAAGTTTTAACGATAATTTATAAAAAATTATGACAACAAAAAGTCAATAATTGTCAATTTTTAGCGACATATATAAAAAATTGTCACAAAAGAATTATTTTTAGTTACAATTTTATCAAGACTTATTTTTAATAGGACTTGATAGGAATTAAGACCTCGTTTGGGAACAGGCTAATTTAGTAACTTTTTTACTATTTGGCTAAAATATGAACTAAAAAAAATTAGTATGTTTGGGATGACTTTTTAGCTTTTTACGAAAAGATGTGCAAAAAGCAAAGAGAAAAGAGAATCTTTGACTTTTTAGTATAGGTTGCTGGCTTTTTAGCTAATTTAGTAACTTTTTGACTAAAAGGGAGGGTTCCCAAACGAGGCCTAAGTCAAACTATTAGGACTTATTGGTAGTTTACCCCTAATTAATCCTATATATTTTTAATTATTATTAAAAAAAATTTAAAAAAAAATTAAGACACTACTACATCTTACTACTGTTGAACTTTCGTTAGACGATCATCGGAGACTTGTTGAAATGTTCAATATCACCGAGAAATCGCTGGAGTATCATTGAAAATTCATCAGTGTATCGCGGAATGTATTGAACGTTATTAGAAGTCGTCGAAATGTCTAGAATGTTCGTTGAACGCCAAGAATGTTGTCGAAAACTCACCGGAATGTCTACAATATTGCCCGAAAAAAAAAAGAATAAATTACGAAATTAAAGTGAAAAAATATAGCAAAATTTGCTAAATATTGATAACTGAAGGGGAAAAAAAACCAACGATGGAAAAAAAAAATGTTATTTTCAATTTTTGTAGGGTTTAAGTAAATAATTTTCAAAATTGATCAAACTAAAAAGCAAGTTTTGAAACTGTAAAATATTACAGTTTCAAAGTATAATCCTATTAAGTATTTGTTCTTATTAATTAAATTGAAAAATATGTTATGAAACTATAAAAATTTACAGTTCTAAAGAATGATTCATTTGAGCACACAAAAAAAATAAATAAAATAAAATTGTAAAATTTTACAGTTTTCACCGTCTATAATTAAAAATCGAAAACAACTTGTTCAGAACTTGAAAATTTTCTCCATTATAATAGAAAAATAGAAGTGTGTAATATAGAAAAAATATTAAAATTTAGAGATTGAAAGAAAGAGACAGATATAGATAGATATTTGTATTCCAACAACTATTTTTTAATTTAGATCTAACGTAGATCTACTCAAATTTGATATAGATCTGAGTACATCTACATTAAATTTAAGTAGATCTACTCATCTTCTTCATCAGAAACTCATCTCTTTTGCCATCAGTGAGCACTAAGTAAGGAGTTGGTGCTCGGTGGTTGCCCGTGTACCTCAATCATTGGTGGTCATCAGTTGTCGGTAACTATAGATTAGAAATAGAAAGAAAAGAAGAGAGGTCTAGTCGTGTGGTCGTGGTTGTAGTCGTGATTGTCACCGATATCAGAGAAAGAGAGATAAAGAGAAGAAGTAAGGTGTAAGGAAATAGAAGAAGCTAAATTAGTATAGGACTTTTGGGTCTATCTAAAATGTTTTGGAATTAAATAGGATGCACACTTTTCAAAAATGACTTGTGAATAATTTGCCCTTTATTATTATGGAAAAAATTACAAAACGAGTCCAACCGTTTGAGCTTTATAACAAAATAAATATTGAATTTTTAATTTTATTCATACATCTTAATCTTTTTAGGGTGAAGTATCAATAAATCTCAAAATGTAATCTTGTGAACTGTTTAATCATCTCTTATTTTTTTTTCTTTTTTTTATGAACCCAAAAGTCTCATTAAAGTGGAAATTACACAAAATGGTAGTCACTTACACGTATAGGTTTAATTTTTTAGGGATAAAAGTAGGTTTCTCCAAATATAAAATTACATATTTGGACAATCCGCACTATAAAGGTTTGAATTTTCCTTATTCTGAAATAAATCTCATGTTACGAATAACAGCGTAATGTGATTTTAATTGCTCAATGTCATTTTAGAAAAGGGCGAACCATCAATAAATCTCAAAATGTAATCATGTGAATTGAGAGGGTAATTTATATGTAAATTAGGCCGAGCTGGGTAATGGGCCATTCTGTGGGCCACAGTAAGGACTGAATAAAAGGGCCTTGAAGTTAGCCCGGTCCAAAAGAGCTTTGTAGTTAGCTCGGTCGGCATGGTCAGAGCGGCGACAGTTAGCTCGGTCAAACCAAACTAAGCTGAGGTATTGTGGGCCTTTTCTCAGAACCTTGTTGTTGAATAGCTCGGTCTAGGCACGCTATGGATAACATGGTTTCAACAGGCAACCGAGGTACAACTGCACGAGAACCTAGCTAGCTTGGCATTGTGCATTGGAGCACCAAGCTTGGTTAGCTCGGTATTAAATGAACAACCCAGTTGGAGTATGTCAAACCGAGGCGCATGCAGTGAAAGGAAGAACCGAGCTAGTTGGAGCTCGGTCTAATCTGCGGCTTTAGCATGGTCATGTTAGCTCGGTCGTATTGACATCCAACCGAGGTAAAACCATCTCACTTGGTTTAAGCAGTGAGGGGGGTGTTGAAGGGTAAGCATTATCCTTCAAGAGTGTGATTCCTAGGAGGACTCTACATGGAGGAATAAGAGTCCTACAAGGATTGTGCCATACGGAACCTATAAAAGCTCACAACATCACCTATGGAGAGGTAACACGACTTTGATTCTCGAATACACAGAGCTTTTGTCTATTTGTTTATTTTGCTGACTTAGGCATCGGAGAGGTATCCGACACACACCCGCCGGCTAGCTCACGTTTGTATTTTAAGGGGTAAAGCGACGACGTTCGGAGGAGCGCGGATTTGATCAACA